GTGTTCCCATTTCAGTGGAAGATCTCTGTCTCACTGTGCACTTGCCCTGCCTCAAGTTGTGACCATTGTTGAAACACAGATGTCCAGATGATGTGTTCAGCCCTGGTCTCCTCTGTCTTTGCTTCTGCCCTGGGAATCCCCTGACTTCCTTGGGAACTGTGATAGAGTGGGCCTGCTGTAATTTGCTTCAGGATTTCAGTTTTCTGAATCAGAAGGAGTTTTCAGGATATCTATCACCTGATCAATCAATCTAATCTATTGATAAATAGATCTAGTCTATCTGTAATCTTTCTACCATCTATCATATCTACCTATCTTTCATTTATCTATATATCTCTAATATCATCTCATTCATCTACCACTCATTCATCTATCCTCCATCTATCTAGTCAATGTACATATGTATCCATCTATCTATAGCTTTATTTTTCTATTTATCTATAATTTCATTAAAATCATCTACATATGATAGATTATCATCTATATATCTATCTACTTAATATACTAACCCATGAATCAATATAATCTATCTATTGCTAGATCTATCTAATCTTGTTGTTGTTCAGTTGCCAAGTTGTGTCCAACTCTTTGTGACCCCATGGACTGCAGCACACCAGGCCTCCCTATATCACACCATCCATCTCCTGGAGTTTGCCCAAGTTCATGTCCATTGAATTGTAATGCCGTCCAACCATCTCATCCTCTGTCACCCTCTTCTCCTTCTGCCTTCAATCTTTACCAGCATCAGGTTCTTTTCCAATGAGTTAGATCTTTGCATCAGGTGGCCAAAGTATTCAGCATCAGTCCTTCCAATGAGTATTCAGGGTTGATTTTCCTTTAGGATTGTCTGGTTTGATCCCCTTCTGTCCAAGGGACTCTCAAGAGTCTTCTCCAGCAACACAGTTTGAAAGGATCAATTCTTCAGCACTCTGCCTTCTTTATGGTCCAACTCTCACCTCTGTACATGATTACTGGAAAGACCATAGCCTTGACTATACAGACCTTTGTTGGCAAAGTGATGTCTCTGCTTTTTAATCCACTGTCTAGGTTTGTCATAGCTTTCCTGCCAAGAAGCAATTTGTCTTCTAATTTCATGGTGGCAATCACCATCTGCTAGCTAGCTATCATATCTGTTGACCAAGCTGCCCAAGGGGTCAGCAACCTTACATGCACAGGAGCATGGGAAAACCTGTATTGAAGGTACACTGACTCATGGCTGCAGAGAGTGGTGTCTTAGAAGAAACCCCCAAGAGTGTGTATTCTGAATGCTATTTTTTTCCAAGGTACCATCTGGTAACAACAGTTTGTATAGTGTGAGCATATGAAAAGTTAAGTTCTCATTTAAAATTTTGCATTCTGCAGTTAATATCACCCCCATTTTAGTGAAGAGAACCTGAATATGACCAGAATGGATTATTTTCCCCAGTGTTTGCCTGAGAATTCCAAGAGTTGGGGGAACAAAGGGACATCCTTTCCTGCTAGCTTCATGCCTCAATCATCATTTCAGCTTTCCATTTAATGCAGAAATTATTTAGGATGGTTTCTAAGAGTTCCAGGTGGTTATCTATAATTTGTTTATCCTTTCACCAACAGTCAGCAATATCATTTTAAAGTGGTCAGAAAATATGGCCTGTATCATTTCTGCTATGAGGGGTTTGTGACCCAAAGGCTTCTCATTTTTGAGGATGGCATCTAGGTATCTGAAAATAATAGGGCTTCTCCATTTCATGAATACAAAATACCACTTATCTTTGTATCTTTCTAACTCATAAATATTTCCAGTTGTGATATCAAAAATTCCACAAATTTAAGTATTTTTATACATCTGATCTATGGCTTCTAAACATAGTGTATTAAAATCTTCTACCATGATTACCAATGCATCGTATGAAGTTATGATACATCACATATATATGAGTAATTTGCTTGCAATAGTACTTAACTATATGAGATGCTGTAAAGGTGTAAATCACCATCTTTAAGGTTATTTGCTATCACTTATCAACATTTTGGTCCACCGGTGCCCAGATAATGTTATATTGATTCTTACTGAAAAGTTAGAAGACAAGAATAGCAGGGAAATTGAGGAGGCTGGACTCTGCAGAGACCACATATTTCTCATTGGGGAAGTCAGGAGACCTCTCTGACCACACATATACAGAACAGACTCCTTGAAGGCCAAAGGGGAGTCACATCCAGGTGCCTTTTTGGTAGAATTCATTTTGGCTAAGCAGTGTGTACACACATGGGAAGATACCGAGATATGGACTGTGAACCAGGCAAATCATAATGATTGGCCAGAGGAAAGCTGGAAGAAACACCCCAAAAAAGTAATTCAAACTACCACGCGAGCATGACTCAGCAACTCAGGGACTCTCCTGTTGAGTCTGCCCATGTGTCTATCCACACGTACTGTACTCTTTTCCCTTCTAATACTTCTTGTTTCACTACTTTCTGTCTTTGTGGAAATTCTTTTCTGCAAAGCTGAATGACCAGGAGCCTTGTCACTGACCAGTGGTCTACTGGTTAGGATCTGGTGCTTTCACTGCTGTGACCCAGCCCAGTCTCTGGTTGGGAACCCAGGCCCCACTCCAAGTCACTGCAGGCTGAGGCCACTTGAGATCATAACTAACATTTCTACAGCATCAGACTTTACTTTCACCACCAGATACATCACAACTGAGTGTCCTTTTGGTTTTGGCCCATGTATAGCTCTTCATCCTGTTCATGACGCCAATTGTCTTGCTGCTCACTGTCCACTGAACCCAGGGTAGGCAAGGCTCAAGCTAAGAGGCTGGAACCAGACGTGAGGAGCTGTAGGAACTGCAGAAACGTTTATTCTCTCCTGGCTGGTACAGCAGCCGTAGCATAGCCTAACACAACACAACCTCTCTCCTGGCTGATGCAGCAGCCATATCACAACTCTCTCCTCTGTGGCTGACCCAAAGGACACAGCCATGACACAATAGTAAATGCTGCTGCTTGTCCAGGTGAAGCTTCTATATGCGAACCGCACACATCCTGTGACCAAATGAGCACCTCGTAAGGCTCACGCGCAGGGATACACATGATCTCAGCTGTTACATAGACGTTATTTACAAAACATGGGGTGAGAGAGCCTGAACACACTGTCTTGCCCAATTTTGCTGTCTCTCACAGCCCAGCTGCTTCCTTCTTTCTGGAGCTGTTAGTAATTGCCCTCTGCTCTTCCCCAGGAGCATATTGGAGACCTTCTGACCTGGGGGCTTATCTTCCAGTGTCAAATCTTTTTGCCTTTTCATACTGTCCATGGGGTTCTCCAGGCAAGAATATTAGGTAGGTTGCTGGTTCTTCCTCCAGTGGAGCATGTTTTCTTAGAACTCTTCACTGTGACCCACCCATCTTGGGTGGCCATATAGCTTTATTGAGTTAAGAAAGCCCCTTCCCCACAACAAGGCTGTGATCCACAAAAGGGAAGATCCTATATGTAAGAAGCCCTAAAGAGTCCACCAAAAAACCTGTTAGAGCTAATACATGAATTCAGCAAAGTATCAGTATACAAAATCAACACACAAAAATCAGTTGCAGTAACAATGAAAAGAAAATAATGGAAACATTCAATTTACAGTGGCATCAAAAAGAATAAAACACTTAGGTATAAACTTTATAAGGGTTTCCCNTGTAAAGTGTCTGCCTACAATGTGGGAGACCCAGGTTCGATCCCTGGGTCAGGAAGATCCTCTGGAGAAGGAAATGGCAACCCGCTCCAGTACTCTTGCCTGGAAAATCCCATGGACGGAGGAGCCTGGTAGTCTACAGTCCATGGGGTCGCAAAGAGTAGGACACGACTGAGCGACTAAACTTTCACTTTCACTTTCCACTTACATGAGGCATCTAGAGGAGTCAAGGGCCTTCCCAAGCAGCTCAGTGCAGGAGATGCGGGTTCAATCCCTGGGTCAGGAAGATACTCTGGAGAAGGACGTAGCAACCCACTCCAGTATTCTTGCCTGGGAAGTCCCATGGATAAAGAAGCCTGGCAGGGTTACAGTCCATGGGGTCACAAGAGTCAGACATGACTTCAGTAACCAAACGACAGCAACAAAGAATAGTCAAATTCATAGATATAGAAAGTAGAATGGCAGGCGCCAGGGACTGAGGAGAGGGAAGACTGAGGAGTTAGTGATTAATGGTTATAGACTTTCAGTTTTATGAGATGAAAAGAGTTCGGGGGATGAATGGTGGTGATGAATGTAAACCTTACAAATCTATAACTACTGAACTATATTCGTAAAATACTTAAAATGATTAATTTTTATTACTACAAAAATAAAGTTGAAGGAAAATTTTCCATCAAGCCACAAAATGACATGGAGGATACTTAAATTATTACTAAGTGAAAAAGCCAATCTGAAAAGTCTATATACCATATTATTCCAACTATTTGATATTCTGGAAAAGGCAAAACTATGGAGATAGTAAAAAGAATAAAAATCCTTTCAGTGGTTTCCAGGAGTTGAGAGAGAAGGAGGGGTAATAGGGAGAGCACAGAGGATTTTTCTGGCAGCGGTACTGCTCCATGTGACAGGAGACTGGTATGACGAGATGTGGGTGCGGGTCAGCGTGGGGCTGGGCTGGGGGGCAAGGGAGGACCGCGATGGGAAGAGCTGAGGCAGCAGCCGTTCTGGCCACACCAGAACCCTGCCATTCCGAGACAGCACGAGGCCTGTGCCCACCTTGGCTCCCTTCCCACCTTGCCAGGTGAGCCAGTGAGGGGGTGGGGTGGGGGAAGCAGCCCACGGTCAGTTTTCCTCTGAACATTTCCTGGGTGCGTGTCCATGTCCGAAGCAACCCTGACACAGAAAGCAGCACACCCACCCGTGAGAGCATGGAGCTGCCTCCACACCGCGCGGGCTCACGCTGCCTTTGCCGGCCCGTAGCCCAGGACAGCCCTGCCCGCCCCCGAACACCAGGAAGGCGGCAGGGCCCTCAGCCTCTCCCCAGAACGAAACAGTGAGACAGAGGACAGCTCATCGGTGCTGCTTTTATTGCTGCGTGTGCATATGCAGGGCGTCCTGAGAGACGGAGGCGCGCGCCGAGGGCGGGGATTCAGCGCACGCGGGCCGGGCTGTGTTTCTTGTAGAGCAGTGCCCGCCTCTTCTCGCGCTCTCGCACAAACACGCGCAGACCCGTGGTTGGGAAGGCCACGGCCGCGGGCTGGGAGCTGGCTGGGCCCTCCTCCGTCAGCCACGGGCTGTGCAGGCAGCTGGACGCACACGGCCGGACCCTGGAGACACGGAAGGGCGGCGTTTACCGCGCTCCCCGCCGCCACGGGCAGGTCAGCGCACAGGGGCATGGGCCGGGCCGAGTTGGTGGAGGTGCTTACCAAGGGTGCACACACAGTGTGCTTCGGAGGAAGGCCACAGCGCCCCCAGACAGGCCGGCATAGCAGCGGCTCAGCTGGATGAGCCCCTTGCGCAGGCCCTTCTGCGTGTCTCGCGTTCCCTCACCGCTCACCGGGTACTCAGCGCTCAACCTGTGTGCGTGGTGGTCACGTGGCTGACGTTACCCTCAGTGGACCGGAGTACCAGAGACCTGGGGTCACCATCAACAGACTTCCTTCCCGCCCGCCCACCCCGCAGAGCACGCTCGGAGACTCACATGATGAAGGCTGTAACGCCTATGGCCCAGATGTCAGTCTGCGGGACAGCACCCTGGCCCTCCAGGAGCTCCGGAGCTGGGGACGGCACAGGTGGGGGTCACAGGCTGTTTGCGGTGGAGGGGGCAGGGGGACAGAACTGGGGCTTGCTCCCGGCACCCCCCCCCCCCCCCAGATCAGGCCTGGCGTCTGCGCCCTGCGCACCCATGGTCTCCATGTAGTCCTTGAATCTCTCTGAGGGCAGGACCCTCTCCTGGGCCAAGCTCTGGGCGTTTCCGAAGTCGATGACCTTGAGCAGGTTATACTCTGTGACAATCATGTTCTCCGACCTGAGGTCTAGATGCAGGATACCCTGGGCATGCAGGTACTGGGTGGCACTTAGTATCTGCCACAGATAGTCCTTCACCTCTGATTCCGAGTAGGAGGCCCTGGGGGCAGAGGGCCAGTTAGGGGGCGCACGGGGAGTGGCACCCAGGCTCTGTCCACAGTCAGCCCCAGGGTGATCAGGAGGCACCAGCCTTCCCTGTGGGCTTAGGAAGGAGGTCCCAGATCTACTGAGTGACTCTGGTGGGCTGACAGGCGGAGGCCGGGCAAGGAGGTGGGCGAGGAGGCAAACCACAGTGCTCCAGCCAGGTCCTGAGCCTGGAATCCAGGCCAGGGCGCCCCTCACCTCTCAGCCAGACAGGGGAGCAGCTCAGGCCCGGAGCACAGCTCCAGGATGAGGACCAGGTGCCTTGGGCTGAGGTAGGCAGCCTGCAGCTGCGCCAGGTGTGGGTGGCGTAGGCCCTTGAGGGCCTCGTACTCCCGCAGCACGGCAGTCCTGTCCGCGGGGTGGTAGGGCACGATCTTGGCAGCCAGCACGCGCCCACTGGCCTTCTCCCGGCACTGCCGCACCACGCTGAAGCGGCCCCTGGTGGGGAGCGCAGGCCAGGCTGGTGACTCAGGCCAGACCCCGCCCTCCCTCCCAGTCTAGAGAAGCGTGCACAGCAGGGAGGTCCGGGAGAGGGTGGCAGACGCTGAGGCGATGTGGACACAAGTGATCAAAGGGGCAAACGCATGGGGCTGGGGTAGGAGCAGGAAGAGCCAGCCCGGTGGAGGAGGCCTTGCCCCCGCCGCCTGCCCTCCCGGAGGCCCTGCACCTTCTCATCTGCGTCTGGAAGGCGAAGGTCTGCATGCTGGGGAGGGGCCGGGCTGGCCCCGCAGCACCGCTCTCCTCTTCAGAGTCTATAGGAAGAGGACAGCCCTGCATAGCCATCTCCCCATGACTGGGGGCGGGCAACCCTGCACTGCCATTTCCCCCAACCTCTTCTCCCATCACCCTTTCCCATCCCGACAGGAAGACCCTCTTTGAACCCCCAACACTGCCCTCTCATGCCTCAGGCCGTTGTGGGTGAGGGGCTTAGTGGGCAGAACGAACCACCCCAAGTGAGTGTGTGACCGGCTGCAGTGGCGGGCGCATTCCCACAGAGGCCTGCCCAGGGGCTCACCCAGGCGGCTGGGCCCTCCCAGGAGGACCTGCTCCGAGGGGCTGCTGTAGGGGCCCATGCCCGCCTTGCTGACGCAGGCCGTCCGGAAGGTGTACGCCCCACCCCGGGAAAGCTTGCCGGTGAGGTAGCAGCAGTCAAAGACGTCCGAGGCCAGCGTGTTCCAGCTGCCGCCTGGGCCACACAGGAGCGAGTAAGAGGCAGCCCAGCCGCGGCCACCCACTGCCTGTCAGGGTGGAGAGGCCCAAGAGGGGCGCAGAGCGGCCAGGCGGGTCCCCAGCCCCCTGCCCCCACCCACAGCGACTCTGGGACCCCCAGGAGTGGCAGGTTCAGGAGGGCCCCACGTCTCCCCCAGGAGCGGCAGGTTCGGGAGGGCCCCACGTCTCCCCCAGGAGCGGCAGGTTCGGGAGGGCCCCACGTCTCCCCCAGGAGCGGCAGGTTCGGGAGGGCCCCACACCTGCCCCAGGAGCAGCGGGTTCAGGAGGGCCTACACCTCCCCCAGGAGCGGCCCCATGCCTCCCCCAGGAGCGGCGGGTTCAGGAGGGCCTACACCTCCCCCAGGAGCGGCGGGTTCAGGAGGGCCCCACACCTCCCCCAGGAGCTGTGGGTTTGGGAGCAGCCCCGTACCTTCCAGGCTGCACTGCACAATGTAGGTCACAGGGCCGTAGGACTCCACAGGCTTCCAGACCAGCAGCACCCCGTCTGCATGCACCTCCCCGATATCCGGCCGTGGCGAGGAAGAGGGGCGCTCTGCGGGGCCCACAGTCAGCAGTCCGGGGTGGGCTTGCATGAGCTCTCTATGGAAGCCCTGAGCCCCAGCCGGCCTGCCTCATCCGCCTACACCCTGCTGTCAGGCCCCTGAGCCCACCCACACCTGGCGCAGTTCCGTTGGGGTCCTTTCCAAGGCTGACTAGTAGGAAGAGCCCAGTGCCTCTCCTTTGAGGGGCCTCAGGAGGTGTCTGCCCTGCCCAACCCCGCCAGGCTCCCCTCCCACCGGTGCCCACCCAGGAGCCCCATGGAATGGCCCTTGCTCACAGCCCCCCACCACCCCCAGGCTCTAGTCAGGGGGGCCTCAGCTTTGCCGGACTGTGGTGCAGGGCAGGTGGGGGCTGGCCCCCTCTGGGGATCAGGTCAGAGGTCTGAGAGCAAGGCTTGCAGCCTCTGTTTTGGATCCCCCAGAAACACACCCTGGCGCTATGTTTAGAGAGCGTGGTTGGACTGTAATAGAGATACAAAATGGGAAGCTGCCGCCTCCTGCACTACTGGAGAGACAGGGAGGTACCGTGGGGATGCAAGAAGAGCCCCCAAAGAGGCGTCAGGGAGGGGGCCTGGCCAGCTGTGTCACCCTGCTCCCACGTCCCCTCCCAGGGCCTCCAGCCCCTGGCAGGGCCAGGCTGTGGGTGCCCGGTGGTGAGCTGCATGTTCCCTGGGCCCTTCACAGCCGACCCACCTGCCTTGCGGAGGATGGCCGTGGTGGCCGCTGTCCCCAGCGCATTGCTCACACTGCACGTGTACACGCCCAGGTCCTCAGCAGTCACCACCAGGATGGTCAGAAGCTGGAAGTTCTTGAGCGTAGAGGAGATGAGGAGGCGGCTGTTGCTCTCAAGAAGAGCCCCGTCTGCAGCAGGAGAGAGTGAGCCTCAAGATAAGCTCCCAACAGGTCCCTGGCTGGTGGTCACGCCCAGGGCCCACACCCTCTTAGAGCCTCAGTTTCCCTCTCCACAGTGAGAGCAGCGCCCGAGAGGAGGACCCCGCCTCCCAGCCCTCAGCCTCAGGAGCGGTCTTTACCTTTGCTCCAGGTGGCCTGTGCAGCTGGCTGGGCCAACACCTGGCAGGCCAGAGTCACAGACTGGCCCAGGACCACCGTCTCATCTGAGAGCTCCCTTAGGAACGACGGTGCTGGGAACAGAGGGAAGGTGAGCCTTCAGAGGTGACCCTGGGTCTGAGTGCAAGGCCTGACCCCCACTGCGGGGATACAGGAGATGAGCCCCATCCCCAGCCGGCTCGTCTCCGACACCAGCGCCTGCTCCAGGAAGGCTTCCAGGACTGCCGGCTCCTGACTGCTGGGGCGCCAGAGTCCCCCTGTGTGCAGTGAGCTCCTGTGGATGTGAGCCGCCCCTCGCCACCTGCACTGGTCTCGACAGGGTTCCCCTTCCCCACAGTAAGGTCCCTTGGCCTGCAGGCGGGGCCTCGCCTCTGGGCCGTGTACCCACCTCGGTCCTTGCTCTTCAGGCCTGACAGGCGGAAGGAAGCGAGACCTGCCTTCTTCCGGGGAGGGCCCTCCTTCTCCAGACCTGCAGTAAGGAAGTGGCCACAGGCGGGAAGTCACACTCTGGGGGCCCAGCTCCTCTGGGAGCATGAAAGGAAGGCTCTGGGGATCCCCATGTGGCAGAAAACCCCAGTCCCCAAGGGGTCTTATTGGCAATGAGCTAAATCCATGGCAGAGGGCACCACCCCTCCCTATCCCATGCGTCAGCCCGTTATGGGCAGGGCACCGCGGGCAGCTGAGGCCAGCAGCTTAAGGGCCCCCGGGCCACTGGCTGAGGGCTCTGGGATCGGGATCAGGGAGGGCCGGTCCAGTTCAGTCTCCGCGGGGGTGTAACTGCAGTTGCATTACGCTGGGCTACAGGTGCATGTGGGGAGGGGTTGGAGGCTGCAAAGGTGACCTCAGAAACGAGCCAGTGTGTCCCGGGAGGGGTGGGCAGCACGGGGTCAGGGGAAGGAGCATAGGCTGGGGGGCTTCCTGCATCACTCAGGCAAGCTCCAGAGCTATCCTTTTGGCCAAGGAGCCCCAAAGAGCAGAGCGGGAAATGTGGATGTGCCCAGTTCCGGGGCAGGGTAGGGGTAGTAACCTTCAGGCCTGCCCCTCAGGAGGCGGGAGATGTGGGCTACCGAGGCCTTCACCCTCTGGCGTAGCCCCAGCTCTGTGGGCTCCTCCAGCAGCGAGTGCCTTCCGGGGAAGTGGAAGAGACTGCCGGAAGGGGGTGACCACTTGCGCTTCCTGCCGCCAGCAGCTTTCCCGAGCAGGGCCTCCACGTCCTCTGGCTCCTCCGTGATCTCCAGGCTGGCTGGCCAGGGCCACGCAGCCTCGGGGAGCTCAGCCAGCTCCTCCCCAGCCTCAGACTCAGGGGAGGATGGACGCTCCGGCTCCACCGGCTTGGGGATCTTCCTAAAGATCATGAACTCAAATGGGAGATATTTGATGTCATACAGATCGGACAGGTTGAGGTAGGCAGGATCCACCTCTGAGATGTCCAGGGACACGGTGTCTGCTGCTTCTGAGTCCCCGGACAGGTCCCGGATCTGTACGAGCGACACCTGAGAGCCCTCGCCGAAGTCTTCCCACGAGCTCAACTCCTGGGCAGCCCTCGGGAGGGCTCTATCGCCCTCGGGTACAGGCGCTGTGCTGGCCTGGGGCGGTGGGCTCTCAGTCCCTGCCTCGTCCTGCTCCTCTGAGGACTGAGAGACGGCCCAGGTCATCTTGGCCCACATGGGGCCCTGCCCCAGCATGCCACCGGCGTCCCCCCCAAAGGCAAAGGTGCCGTAGCCCGCCACCCCTGCGTAGCCCCCACGGCACCCCAGGGAGAACTTCCGCGTGGTCGCCTGCTCCGGAGGCCGCTGTAGGCTGGGTGAAGACTGGGACAGGTCCTCCGTCTCCTGGACCAGGCCTTCAGCATCCAGGGAGTGGCTAGGCTCCGTGCCCATCTGGGAGGCTGGCTCTGGGGGCCTGGGTGGTCCAGGCCTCTTGGTGAGAGGGACAGCCTTCAGCCCGCTCTGAGAGTCTGCCTGGGGGCTTGCTTGGGCAGGGGGCAGAGAGGCCTGAGGCTTTCCTGGGAAGGAAGGGCTGGGGGATGACAAGAGGACCTCTGTGCAGGGCCCTGAAGGGAAGGAACCAGGAGGCTGTGGTGCCAAGGCCACAGGGGGGCCACTGTCCTGGGGGGCCGGGACCCACTGGGGCTGAGAGAAAGGGGCAGCCTGCCCTCCACAGCAGTCCTGGGACGACCCCTCTGGCTGAGTGGAACATGCATCACCACTGGCGGATGGTAGTCTCAGCCCCTGCAGGGTCCCCTCTGGATGCTCCTTCTCCCTGGCACGTGCACCCCCTCCAGGCACGCCCTCTTCTCGGGCATCCTGAGGGCTCAGGGGAGCCGGAGCGGGACACTGCCCCTTGCTGCAGGCCTTGGTGGAGGAACTGGCAGTGTTCGGTGGGTCCAGGTCCAGGGAGCGGCTAGAGCCAGAGGCCTCCTGGGTGCTTGCTCTGGGCATCTGCACGGCCGTCTCCAAGGAGGCTGCTGTGGCCTGCAGGGCAGCCTGCTCCTCCATGGCAGCCGCCTCCTCCAGTGCACGATGCTCCAGCAGTGGCTCTCGAAGTCCCGGCAGGACGCCCGAGAAGTAGCCACCCTTGAGAAGGTGCCTCCGCCGGGCGGGGTGCCGCCGGCCCCCTGTGGACGGGCCCCCTAGCTCTGGGCCCTCGCCCACCTGCTGGTAGAACAGGCTTCGGATGACACTCTGCCGGGGCACACAGCCCAGGGCAGCTGCTGGCTCCTCGCCCTGCAGCGATGCGGGCAGAGCCGAGGCGGAGGCAGGTGGACAGGCCTCGGCCTCCTCAGGCAGGCTGGCCGAAGGCCTCAGGAAGCCCCGGGGGTGCAGCAGCGGGGAGTGGGTCACCGGGGAGGATGGCAGCGACTTGGCTCTGGCGAACGGGGCCAACTCGTTGTCGGAGGAGGAGGAGCTGCTGGAGGAGGCGCTGGCGTCGCCACGCAGGTGCCGAGCAATCCCGAGGGACGGGCTGTCAGGCGGGCCCTGGAGCAGCTCCGGGATAGAACGCATCACCAGGATGGACTTGTAGCTCATCAGAGAGCGCTGGGGGCGTGGAGGACAGGGGGCCGTGAGCAGGGGACCGGCTGCTTCCCAGGCCAGAGGGGACCTCAGGGAACGGTGGGCCGTAAAACACGTGGTCCCCAGGGCTCTGTCATCTTGTCCCCACCTTGGCAGAGATGTTGCGTGTTGCCCCGCCTCACCCCAGTGGCTCAGGGAGCAAAGACTTGAAATGAAGGGTGCCTGGCCCCACTCCCTTGCTCTGCAGACCCAGAAGGGACACAGAGCCAGCCCTCTGGGCCTCATTTCCCTCTCTGGCCTCCGACCACTTCTGCACCCAGCCCTCTCAGCCCTCCGCAAGGCAGCACACTCACCTGCCAGCGACTGCGGGCCAGGAGGAACTTCAGCTGCTTGGTGTTGATGAAGTGGGCCTCCTCCGCAGGCACAGACTTCTGGGGGAGCCCAGGTGAGAGAGCCACGTTGGGGGTGGCGGAGCCCCTGGGACATCCTGCAGTCCCGGCAGGCCCCCACTCCTCTTGGCCTCACTTTCCCACGCTGTGAGCCAGGCCAGCCCACGTTCAGCCTACTCACCTGGAACCAGGGGTGGGCGAGGCACTTGGCAGCACTGGGCCGAGCCCTGGGGGAGGAAACGAAGGTCCAGGTCAGGCCGAGGTCAGCTGGTCACTGAGGCAAGCCCGGGGCTTCAGATGTGTGTACTCACCCCACGGCCTTCTGCAGAGCAGCCTTGATAAAGTCCTGGGCATCCTCACTGAGGTGGGTGGCCATGGGGCTGCTCCAGGACACCCGCCCTTCCAGGACATTCAAAAGGGTTGCTCGGTCACTCTCTCCAGCAAATGGGGATGAGCAGGTCAGGCTGGAAGCAGAGGCATGGCTAGCCTTCAGCTGTGACCTGAATTTCTGGGTCCATGGGAGGCAGGTTGCCAGGACAGGGGTCTCATGGGGATGCTAGTGACTGGGGGCCCCCAGCCCTGACTGGAGATGCCTCCTGACACCTCTCTCCTTCAGCCCTGAGAATCCCAGTACGTGTCTCAGATCCAGCTTGGAGCTGGAATCCAGGCTAAGCCTGCAGTGGGTATCTGGTCTTAGGCTGGGGTGAGGGTCCAGGCTTGGCCTGGGATAAGGGATCAAGCGTCATCTTGAGCTGGCACCTGGACTTAGCCTGAGGTGGCACTAATGCCCTCGGGGCAGCAATAGCTGTTAAAAGGGACCTCTGGGCAAACTCCTCGGACCCTTTAGGGAAAGAGCTCCGTGCTCTGCCCATGACCTAGCAGAGGTCCTCTATGACAGGGTGTGAGTGAGAAGCGCTTGGCAGAAAGCCCATATCAGAACTGGCTGACGGCATGTTCCCAAGATAGCTGCCCCTCGGGTCTTGCGTCTCTGAGCCAAGGAGCAGTTAGCAGTTCAACAGCTTCCCATTGGCCTGCTGAGGAGGGGTCTGGGCTGGCTTTGGAGCAGAGAGCTGACAGGAGCAGGGGTCTGCTCACCTGAGGTAGGTGATGACCCCCATGGCCCTGCAGAACAAAATCACAGCTGTGAGTCTCTCCAGACCTGGTCCGATGGGGAGGTGGAGGCCCGCCCACCGCCCCCCGGCTCACCAGATGTCGGAAGCCTCGTTCACGGGGGTCTGCTCGATGATCTCGGGGGCCACAAACTCAGGGGAGCCGTACTTGCTGTACTGTGGCTCTCCCGGGGTGATTTTTTGGGCAAAGCCAAAATCACAGATTTTAATGTCTTCCCGGGCAGGATGCACCATCAGGATGTTGGGGGGCTGTCAGGCAGAGTCGGGAGTGGGTGAGCACACCCTGAGGAAGGAACCCCCAGGTCTCCCAAGCCTGAGGACACTCAGGTGTCTCTGAGGGGCTGCCCCCGCAGGAGGGTGAGGCCAGCATGAGACCATAGGCAGCCCCGGGAGCAGGTTTCAGCGCCCTCGGGGATAGCTTCTGCTCCATCAGAGCTGCCCCCCACCTGAAGGTGAAGGGGCTGCTGTAAGGCGGTAAGCTCCCTGTCCCCAGAGGTGAGGAAGTCCTCAGAGGGAACTGGAAGTGTTGGGCCTTCACCCCCTCAGCCTAGAGGCCCCAGGCTCCCAGCAGCTCCTTCCTGGGCTCGCGGGCAGCAGGGAGCCACGTACCTTTATGTCCAGGTGAAGGATGCCTTGACTGTGCAGGAAGTGCAGCCCCTCCACCAACTGCTGGATGTAGACCTTGACCTGCGGCAGAGCTGGTGCTCAGGTGAGCCGGCCAGCCTCCAGCACCCCTCTCCTCACCTCCCTGCCTGCTCCCACCAACAGGACCTCCACTTCCCTCCAGAGCTGAGCCTGTGGTTCGGGGGGGCTCCTGCAGGACAGGTTCCGTGCAAAGCCCCAGGGAGCCCTGTAGCTGGGAGATTCCTCTGGGCCCCCAGCTGGATGGGTTTGGGTGTATGGAGCAGCTTGAGGAAAGCGGGAGGGGGCCGGGGGAGCAGGCAAGGGCTGGGCAGCTTGGTCAGTGCCATCGGGGGTGGAGAAGCAGGGAGCCCCGGCCACCGGAGGGCTTTGAGAGCCGACAGGAGCTGCAGCAGCCCATGAGGGTCTCTGAGTGGGAGTGCTCTGTTGGGAGCTGGTCTGGTCTGGGCTGGGGCAGTGGGAGGCCTGGCCAGGCCCACACGCAGCCCTGCAACTGGGTGGGCAGCCGGGCAGCAGTCACCTCGGCCTCGGTCACCACACTCTTCTTGAACAGGCGGTCCAGCAGCTCCTCCGACGAGCACCTGGGAGTCTGTCAAGGAAAGCTCTAGGCTCTGGAACCCTTGAAGCCTTGCGCTGCCTGGGGGGAGTCTTATCTCCAGGTGGGGGTGGGGCTATGCTGGGGAGGCTGGTGCTCGAGGTTGAGGAGGATGAGCAGGACAAAGCCCCCCAAGTAGAGGGACCAAGGACAGTAGGAGGCAGCAGAGTGGGAGTGGCACGCCACCCCGACTCCTGCAGGCTATCCTGAAGGGGGAGGTGGGGGTGTGGCGAGACCCCCAGCTGGGCCATGCACACGGATGGGTGGGTGGGTGGGGGCGTGTGCCCCTCTCTGGAGCATGGGTTGGCAAAGATGCATCAGTGCCTGGGGCATGTCGAAGACAGGTAAGAAGCCCAGGTTTCCTGCTGGAGGCCAATGCGGGGAGCAGGAGGAGACAGACTTCTCAGTGAAGCCATGCCTAAATTCCTTACCCAAGGGACTGGGAGCTGGGAGCTCTGTGCGGTGGCAGTACGTGCGGGGGGTGGGGGCCGGGGGG